TGTGTGTGTGTGTGTGTGTGTGTGTGTGTGTGTGTGTGTGTGTGTTAGCTGGCTGGCTAGCAAGCTCCCAGGGCCCACCTGTCTCCTCTGCATGATGCTGGGTTGCAAACTTGTACCACCACACCCAGATTTCCTTGTGGGTGCTGAGGATCCAAACTCCACTCCTCATGCTTGCATGGCAAGCCCTTTAGCCATTGGTCCATCTCCCCAGCCCACTCACTGTTTCTTGACAGGCTTTGTGGCATCAAACATGGAGCAGATGACAGCATGGCTCTTCTTTAATCTGAGGATGAGCTTATTTTGTTAGCTTCCCAGAGAAGTGTAGAGTTCTGATGCAGCCTTGTTTCAAGGGAGCTCTTTGTATGAGTGTCATTAAGAAATATAGATGCTGGGCTGGAGAGATGGCTCAGAGGTTGAGAGCATCAGCTGCTCTTCCAGAGGTCCTGAGTTCAATTCCCAGCAAATAGTGGCTCACAACCATCCATTATGAGATCTGGTGCCCTCTTCTGATGTGCAGATATACATGGAAGCAGAATGTTGTATACATAATAAATAAATAAACTCTTAAAAAAAGAAATACAGATGCCATAAAGCATGAACACAAACAAATACATTCTGTGTGCTCCCACTGCCTTTCATAAAAGGATTTATTTATTTATTTTATGTATATGAGTGCTCTATCTGCATGTATGCCTTTATGCCAGAAGAGGGCACAAGATCTCATTATAGATGGTTGTGAGCCACCATGTAGTTGCTGAGAATTGAACTCAAGACCTCTGAAGAACAGCCAGGCTCTTAACTGCTGAGCCATCTCTCCAGCCCCTCCCTCTGCCTTTTCCAACCCAGAAGTATTCATCTTGAAAGCTGAGGTTTCCAGTGCCCTAGATTAACAAAGTAAGATTGTATACAGCCTTGTTTTCCCTAGAGAATGAAAAGAAAATACAGTTTTAAAAATGGTAACATGTTTGTTTACTCCTCATTGCAACCCTAAGAAGTAGTCAAGTGGGTGGGGTCTTGTCTCCATCTGTAGAGATAAGGAAACAGAAGTTTGGAACAAGATTAAGCCACTTTCTCAAGATCACATAAATCACAGGGCAGCACCTGGAACAGACAATTCCATTCTAGAACAATCTGCTTCCCAGAAGGCTGGGCTATACCACCACACATGGATATGTTAAATAGTCACTCACACACACATTACGTGTGTGTGTGTGTGTGTGTGTGTGTGTGTGTGTGTGTGTGTGTGTGTGGAGAGAGAGCGACAGAGAGAGCGGGAGAGAGGGGGGGAGAGAAGAGAGAGAGAGACTTTATGAGGCTTATAGTCTAGTGAGAAAGGCAAGTGTTAGTTAATGAGACCATTGATTTTTATTTTTAAGTGAAACACATTAGGCACAGGATGCCAATCATGGACCCTTGGTGCTCAGAGAAGGGACCCGGGGAAAGGACTTAAAAGCCAGATGAGGAATGGAGAATAACAGCTGGAGAGAAGGGCCTGAGTGAAGGCCCTGAGGAGGAGCCTGGTCTAACAGTGAAGAGGGCAGGGGGAGTGACACGTCCATCAGGTACACATGCAGGCTGGAGATGCGTCGGTTGGGTCTCATACCCCAGGGTGAGAGTTTACTATTTTATCCTCAGTGCCACTGAACAATTATACTGGAATCTGAAAGTTTTTTTTGATATTTTTAAAAGGTATATTGACTGACAGTGCAGTGAAGGATGAAGGAGGGGGAATGGATAATGAGAATGCTTCTGAGGTGTGTTTTGTTGCTCAGTAACACACATCACCAGCCACTGATGCCACAGGTGTAGACGGTGGCAGCTCTAATGCTCACAGGCTGTGCAAGCCAGCCTGTTCAGCTTGCCCCTCAATATCAACTTGAAGGAGAGCTGGCTTTTAAAGACCACTGTGTACATGAATGAACCGAGTTTGGGAACAAAGCCCATGCTTATTCCTCTTCGTGCAACTGGCTTCTCGGCTGGTGACAGAGCTGGAGTCACTCACACGGTTGTTTAACTCCTGTGTCACACTGAGCTTGGATGCTCTGGCCACTCAGACCTCGGGAGCGCTAGCAAATACTAGACTCCGGTGACAGTTCATCTTGACACCCTGACTAGGAGATATAGAGGTTGTCACGAAGACTTCATTCAGGTGGGTGGCAGCTTCGTCAGTGAGCACTCTTGAGAAGTCTCTTGTTGCCTTCGGATATTTATTTTTAAAGCCGCCTATTGTTTAGCCCACCCTGCTTCCTTTGTAGTGTTGTTATAAAAAGTTCAGATGATTATCCGTTGGCCAAGCACCAACACCCCCGATCATTGCTCCTCAGAGCATCCTCCTGAGATAAATAAAGAAAATGCCTTTTCCCTAAAATAAAGAGCCAGCAGGTGCCCCTCACTTCTAAGGACAAGCTTGAGTTCTAGCTTGAAACAGTAGGGGACAGCATGCAAGAGAATGTAGCTTATTGTGTAATCCTCTCTACTGCCCCTGTGATGGCAAGGTGGAGAGGGTTCAAGGAGTTTCCTTAATGCCATTAAGTCTAAGTTTGTTCCCTTGGCATGGCTGAGTGCCCATTTAGTGCGCAACAGTCTGGTGAGGTGTGGAGATCGCGCTATGTTGTCCATATGGTTGGTAGCCATGAGTCACATGTGGCTATTTGAATAGAGATTCATTTCAATTAAGCAAAATTATAATTCAGTGCTTCAGTCACTTAGACACCTGGCAAGTGTTCGATAGCCATATGTAGCTTGAGGTTACTTCAGAGGACAGAGTAAACACAGACAATTTCTACAGAACAGGAAGGCCTACTAGGCAGTGCTGCTTTGGAACTAGTGCACGGAAGAAGCTGATGTGTCGTGGTGCATAAATGTGACAGACTTTGATGATCTCCCGTGGGAGGCCTCACCCTCCCTGGGGAGTGGTTGGGGTGGCATGCGGGGTAGGTGGGGGGGGCATGGAAGGACAGGAGGGAGAGGGAACTGGGATCAGTATGTAAAATAAGATTGTTTTTAATTTAAATAAAAATATAAGGAAAAAATTTTAAATGTGAATACAGCTCTACCAAAAAAAAAAAAATGTGGATTTTGGGGTCAAACCTGTGTTGGAATCCTAGCTCCATTGCTTACTTCCATAGCTTGAGGGCATGTTGTATAGCCTATCTGAGCCAAAGATTTATGGTCTCTAAAAATGGGCTAATAATGCCTACCTCGTTGAGTTAAAACGAGAATTAAAGGATATTTGTGGTCAATGAGCATCCATTGCTCAAGACAGTGTTACCATTATCAACTTCTTCTACAGATATGAAGGATTCTTTTTACCCAGACAGATATTTCATAATCCTTTCAGTAATAGTTTTGAAGATATAGCTGTTTTCCCTATGTTCCTTCTTTCTATAGTAGTTGCCAACCTCCCAACCCCCCCCCCATGGTGTGTTGTAAATCTTCCAAAAGCCTGGGTTTGGGGGCTGTGGTACCCTCCCTTTTTTGTGACTATAATGGTAGAAAGAATAGACAATATTAGAGAAGTATGATTGTTGATTTTAGTAAAATTTTGTCTGGCTGGGAAACATTAATGACAGAGACACAAGAAAAATGGAAATAAAGCTGTTCCTAAGGGTGAGCCCGAGAGAGTCACTGCAGCCACTTGGGATGTATCTGTGTAACATATTTCCATCAAGGATCCCATTTTTAGAAAGCTTTTTGTTGTCTGCTGAGTCCTAAAGTCGAGGTGGAGGCACTGAACTCATGATGGTGAGAGGTACTTCATCTCCTGGGAAGAAGAAACAGAGAAAAGGGGAGGAACCAGGCATGAGATTGCCCCGTGTGTGTGTCGGGGGTGGGGTGGGGGGTTCTCTGCAAACACCATGGCCAGCAGAGTGTTGGTCCAGGGGGATGTTGGTCCAGGGAGGGCAAGAAGAAAATTTGGTTCAGTGGGACTCAATAGCTGACATTGACTCAAACCTGCAGAGTCTGACCCAGAGTTATTTATTTCAGGAATGTTTAAGCACAGCACAATTTGTCCCTTCAAACAAACCTCAAAAGACTAGACAACATTCGATTTATTTTATTGGTAGCTAAGACTGTTTGAAAGTAGAGCAAACAATGTGGCCATTAAGTCTCTTGACTTTCCAGTGCCATGGAAATTATCTGTATCCTTCCAGTCTTAGATTTTTGAGGTATCTCACAGTAGCATCATACATTTGTTCAGCTAGGAATAATTTGGAAATCATGAAAAGAGCTGGTAAATATGCTAGGGTGGATAATGAAATTATCATGGTTTATTATTGAGTTAGGTTCAGAGACAATCTAGAGATCCAACAACAAGGGACCAAAAAGCACATTGCAGTCCAGCCACATGTCAAATGATTATACACCAATTAAAATCACCCTTAGGGTAAGTTTGTGAGGGTGAAGACTAGTAGTCTTGTGTTAACTATAAACTTATCTATGCTTACAAACTTTGAGAAGAAAATTTAGTAGAATGCTAACTATAGCTGGTGAGATGAAGTGTGTTTGTGGGCAGGGGTGATCAATATCTATTACCTTAATAATTGTAGGCAGATGTTATCTTCTCAGCTTGAGCCTCCTGATAGAAAAGACAGAGATGACCACAACTGTGATTTGTAGGAGTGTCACTGCACAATAAGATAATTAACTTGGTTCTAGATAAGTGGTTCCTCAATACTGAATTTCAAAGAGGTTTATCTCTGCTCTTGAGTGATATTATGTGCAGATCCTAACTCTCCATACATCACCTGTAGAAGGGGGACAGTTTCTATTGTATGACCAGCCTCAAGAAAACCAGAGGCCATGGCTGTGGAAATGAGCTGTGTAGGGAGTTTGTGTCCACACTGGCTTCCACTTCTGAATTCTGCATTTACAATTTTAAAGTCTTTGCTACACCTGATGAACTGTGTGAGATGGACCTCTCAGCTCCTTATTAGTGTCCCTAGCCCTGGAAATCTGCCTTTGAGCTGTGACTTGACCTTTCTCCCCTCCCCCTCTAGGTGTCGCTGCACTGGATTCCAATGTATCGGGAAAAATTGGTCTGCGTGCCGTAGTGTATTACTTCTGCACCACCATCATTGCTGTGATCCTCGGTGATGCTTTTTTCTGATTCCTTCTTCCTCTATGTATTTGTCGCTTTGTCTTCAAAAAGTAACTGGGCTTCTTAAAATGCATATTTTCAGCCAGAAAGTAATATTGTCAAAGTATCCCAGGCCTTTGCTGCCTTCGAGTCTGCATAACACCTTTTATGTGAAGAAAATGCAATTTTTGACAAAATTTTGACCATAGTACTAGGTCTCAAAGTCTCCAATAAGAAGCAGAGAAAAAGTGATATTTTTGTGCCCTGTCAGTATTACTGGGGAGAAAGAAGTAAGGCCAAGAGTTTATATAATCTTAAGCCAGATAATTAATCTAGGGCGGTAGAATATTTTTAGATGACAGTTCCAGAAAGGGTGTCTTGTATCTACAGGTGGAAATAACGGAAAGGCATCAATCTAATGTGCTTTTATTTCAAATCCTTCTGTGGCTGATTTCATAGACTGAACAGCAGGAGAAAGATGGACCTGGTGTGTCCAAAAGCAATTCTAGAAGTCACTCATTCATTAAAAAGAAAAGCAAGGAGACTTCTCCATTAATGCACTTATTCACTTCAGTGGGTTGGGGGTAAGGTCGTAATTAGGGATTAGCACTTTGTTGAGAACTTGGGGGCCCTCCATGGCACAATATTGCCTTGACCACCATGTCCCCTGGTCCTCTAAAGACCGCCCCAGGATCCTGGCTGCCCTGGAAGCTTTTAATTCTCTGTGAATACTGTCCTTGGCCACAGGTATTGTGCTGGTTGTGAGCATTAAGCCTGGTGTCTCTCAGAAAGTGAGTGAAATCAGCAGGACAGGCAAAAGCCCTGAAGTCAGCACAGTGGATGCCATGTTGGACCTGATCAGGTGAGACTTGCCAGTGGTGACTTCCTGGATGGGTTGTCTGTACAGTTGCACAAGGCCCATGAGTGACTTAATGCTCCAGTGTCTTAACATTTGTAGGTGTGTGTTAAATGAGTGTGTGTATGGTGCACATATGTGGAAGTCAGAAAACAACATCAGTCGCTGACTCTCTCCTTCTGCCTTATTTGAGTGAGGATCTTTTTGTTGCCTTTTGTGCTGTGTATGCTGGGACAGCTCGCCCTTGAGATTCTGCAGATTCCTCTGTATTTGCCCCCCTTTTTACCATACATCACTGAGATTATAAGTATGGATGACTGTGCCCAGCTTTACATAAGTTCTGAGGATTTGAACTCAGATCCTCATGCTCTTGCAGCAAGAACTTTACCTACTGAACCACCCCCAGTCCAATATCTTAACATTTTTAATAGTATTTAAGTTAATATGCATCTTCAATTTTGCTATGAGTCCTACAAATTACATAGCTGGTAATTTCTACTCCCCAAGCATGGTTCAGAAAGCAATGGATAGAACAGGCCCCTGCCTGAAGACTTAGCGTGGACAGGTAGGAGGAAATACCCTTGTTACATAAGGATGCTGGGCAGAACTAGGTGGCCAGTTCTGAAGGTTACTTAGGGAAATTCATGTTTCTATTATACAGAGAAACCCTTCTTTCTAAGGTGGTCAGTACCACAAACAAATTAATGAATTGAAAGGTGTCAATTCAAGCAGAACAAATGGAGAAGCTTGTTCTGGATATGTTCAGGATATGTGCATATTGAGCAGTTTGGCAATGTAGGACCACGGTTGGCTCTACTTGTGACCATCTACTGTAATTTCATATAATTTCTGCTGAATTTGCTGACTTACAAATGCATTGTGAGAATCACTAGGTTCTGTTTCCATAGAGTGGAGCAACCCAATCATGAGAAATTGCCAAGAAAGCCAAATACTTAAATCCGTAGTTTTCTCTTTATATATCAACTGTCCTACCATACCTAACTCAACCACAGAAAATATAGTCACTTGGGTTTCTTGAGTCTCCAGGGTATGTAACTTAGCTATTTATAGGACCCATACAATTTCTTTCATACCCATATTTCATTGGTTCACATGTTTAACTCGGTAAATTATGATAGAATTTGCAACAGACTTATGAAAATGGAAAGATACAGAAAATCAAACAACTGTCTCGACTCTGAGTATCCATCTGCCTGTGCAGCATTTCCGAAATAACAGTAAGGGTGTCGTTTAAGGAATCTGTTAAAGTGGCAGTTGACAGGGGTGGGGGACTCAGCAAAGGGTATTATGCAAAGCAGAAGCCAGAAGAGAAACTGGAATATCTATCCAGTTTCTGGATATATTGCTGGAATATTGCTATTCTCAATTCTATTGATATATAGTTTACCAACTGAAAGCACCTGTTTCCCTGATATAATCAAGCTCTCCGTGTCTCCAACAGGAACATGTTCCCTGAGAACCTGGTGCAAGCCTGTTTTCAGCAGGTAACATTAGTGGTTTTGCTCTTGAGTTATCTCTCTGTCCCCATGACCCACTGAGACTTCGTTTTCTACAAAGACACAGAAATCCAATTAGCCAGTCAACACCTGACAGCAGAAAGTACACCTGTGACCGATGGGGTTTCAGACAACTCTTGTCTTTAGGGCTGTAGTGAAATCATGCCATGGTTAACAGAGTTCTCTTCCCCTCACATAGAGAAAGGCAAGAATTTGCCAACTTGTACTATTTTATTTGTTTGTCTTTTGGAGAGCCATGTTGTATTTGTAAAAACTTGGACTTCCTGTAGATGCAGTGCAGTGGACAGAAGGGCTGTCCATCTCTTCCTTCCCTTCCCTTTCATGGTGACCATGGGTGTCTAACCCACACCATGTTGGCCGGCCCACCCTCAACTGGGTCTTTTCCTTAATATTAGATGTCCATTGCTGGAGCTCCGCAGCAAAGCCATGGCTGTTTTAGATTTCTTATGAATGTTTACTGTTGTCTTCACTCCACTGAAAATCCCTTTTCTGTTTATATGGGCTCCCTAAGACAGCTGAGCCTATCACAAACTGCTGTATTCATTTACATAAATTACATGGACAGAGACTTCTATATATACCAATAAAAGTGGCAAATACATCATTGTCCTGCAGCCCCCACCAGGAACAGAGCCACCTCTATTTATGGGGTGCCTTTGCAGCTCAGTTACAGTGGCCGTTTGTAGGGTTCGAAGTTGGCAGAGATTCTGTATGGAGGACATTTCTTTCCAGCACCATAATATAGTGGCTTTTTCTCAATCCACCGTGATTGAAGCCTCACAGAACTAAACAGGGCGGGATGAAGGGAGGAATTCAACAGGAATCTCACAACATAGCTCTGGAGGTGCTGTTGATGTGGATACAACCACCCAGTTACCCCTTTCTTGGAACTTATTAGTCACTGTGACTGTTTTTATCAAAGTGCTAAGGTTATTTTCCCAGATTAAAAATGATCATTTATAAAAACAAAAAAAGGTTGGCAGGAATCCCCATGTCGGTGAAAGTACCTACAGATAAAACCTGCTTCTTTTTGCATCCACTCATTTTCCCATCATAAAAGGGGGGGGACATTCTTGTATTATTGAATGGCCACTGTGGAAGTCTGGAGTTTGGATTTTTAGATCCCATTTTTCAGTCTCAATGCCTCCTGAGAAAGATCATCAAAAACTAGAAGCAACAAATGAACCACCATTACAGCCCTTCGGTGACAGTTATTTGGTCAAGATAATATCCCTGTGGTGTAGCCCCAATTGGATGCTAAAAAAAAAATCTTTTTACTTTGTGAGCAATTGTTTTTCTCCAATGTGCAGTACAAAACCAAGCGTGAAGAAGTGAAGCCTGTCAGTGATCCTGGGGGGAATGTGACAGAGATGTCTGTCACCACCGCCATGACAACAATGTCTAAGGTACCATCTGCCACCCCACCCTCCCCAGCATGCATGCGCCAGTCTTGAGTGGCAGGAGAGAGAAAGGCATTTAGCTTTGTTATGCATAACATCCACTTTTCGAGTACCTCTTCTCCAAATGTATCTGTAGCCCAGAAACCTTTTGGAGTCCCTCAAGAGTGGCACAAAACTGAGTCACCCACAGTACCTGAATCCAAACTGAGTTTGAACGAGGCTACGATATATCTTCATTTTGGTTTTCATTCAATAAACAAACATACATACATGTTGGTGTATGTTTTATCTCACCTTTATTTTCCTTTCATGCATCTTCTCAGTGATTTTGCAGTCTGTTTGTTTAATTTTGTCCTGTGTTACATTGAGTGAGGATCTCTTTCGCTGACTCTGTGTGTGTGTGTGTGTGTGTGTGTGTGTGTGTGTGTGTGTTCAGGGATACTGGGAATTCAGCCTTGGGTCTCCTGCATGCCAGACAAGCATTCTATCCTTGAGCTATTTCTCCAGTTCATGCTCTCTCTCTCTCTCTCTCTCTCTCTCTCTCTCTCTCTCTCTCTCTCATGAATGCATAATAATGATTGTAATTTGGGGGGCACTCACATATTCTCATGCACTTTGCTCCTAGTCTCCCCATTGTCTTCTCTGCTATGTTCTCCCTAAGAACTCCCTCTGCTCTCATGCAATAGGCACAAGCTGCGTCCCTGCCCTATAGACTTTTCAATCTGGGGTCCATATAGAAGAGAAAACATGCAATATTTGAGTCTGGCATATTTTGTGTGAGTTCCATTTATACTTCTTTTTTCTTGCAAAT